TGGGACAAGATAAAATCCAGGTCAACGAATTTTCCCAGATCATCCTCCTCCCGTTTAATAGCGAACACTTCCATGATGGGGTAGGAGATCTCCTCCAAGTTCAGCTCCTGAGGAAGGGGGAGAAAAAAAAAATATGAGACCTTCGGATCGCAGACATGCAAAGGCAGATCCCACATCCATGGGCAGATCCCACATCCATGGGCAGATCCCACATCCATGAGCAGATCCCACATACACAGATCCCACATCCATGAGCAGATCCCACATACACAGATCCCACATACATGGGCAGATCCCACATCCATGGGCAGATCCCACATCCATGGGCAGATCCCACATACACAGATCCCACATCCATGAGCAGATCCCACATCCATGGGCAGATCCCACATCCATGGGCAGATCACACATACACAGATCCCACATCCATGAGCAGATCCCACATACACAGATCCCACATCCATGGGCAGATCCCACATCCATGGGCAGATCCCACATACACAGATCCCACATGCATGGGCAGATCCCACATCCCCAGATCCCACATCCCCAGATCCCACATCCCCAGATCCCACATGCATGGGCAGATCCCACATCCACAGATCCCACATCCAGGGGCAGATCCCACATCCACAGATCCCACATCCACAGATCCCACATCCAGGGGCAGATCCCACATCCAGGGGCAGATCCCACATCCAGGGGCAGATCCCACATCCACAGATCCCACATACACGGGCAGATCCCACATCCATCAACCCCGGTCTATAGGCAGGACGAGTCCTGAAAACCTGCAGAACGAGTCCCTCCGACAAACAAAACAACTTCTCCTGCAACTCCCAGCCACACAGGAGCTCCGACACACTTTCAAATACTACAAAAGCGATTCATTTGGTGCAAATAAAAAATAAATCATTTTAAAAAATCGGAGATTTTTTTATTCTTAAGCCTAGAAATGCAATTGAATTGATTTGGTGCAAAAAAAAAAAAAAAAAAATCTGCACCATTTTTTTAAGTGTAGAAATGCAATTAAAAATAAAATAAAAAAATTGGTGCAGATTTCTCTTTTTTTTTTGCACCAAATTTAATTTAATTGCTTTTTAGACTAAAAAAAAAATGCGAACGGGATTTCTTTTAAAACTCTAGAAATGCAATTAAATTAATTTGGTGCAAAAAAATAAAACGAATCCCGTCCGATTTTCGAGTAGAAATGCCACTAAATTAACTTGGTGCAAAAATAAAAAACACATTTCGTCCGATTTTTGAGTAGAAATGCCACTAAATAAATTTGGTGCAAAAATAAAACACATTTCGACCGATTTTTGAGTAGAAATGCCACTAAATAAAATTTGGTGCAAAAATAAAACACATTTCGTCCGATTTTCGAGTAGAAATGCCACTAAATTAATTTGGTGCAAAAATAAAAAAACACATTTCGTCCGATTTTTGAGTAGAAATGCCACTAAATAAATTTGGTGCAAAAATAAAACACATTTCGTCCGATTTTTGAGTAGAAATGCCACTAAATAAAATTTGGTGCAAAAATAAAACACATTTCGTCCGATTTTTGAGTAGAAATGCCACTAAATAAAATTTGGTGCAAAAATAAAACACATTTCTTCCGATATTCGAGTAGAAATGCCACTAAATTAACTTGGTGCAAATATAAAGAAACACATTTCGTCCGATTTTCGCGTAAAAATGCCAATTAAATGATTTTGGTGCAAATAAAAAAAAGAAAAAGAAAGACTTCGCCTGAGCGGCAAAATACTCCGACTTCAAATCTCCGACAATTCGCTAAAAACTTTTCCGAAACTTTCCAAAGTCAAGAGAAAAACTTTTCCCGAAGTGTGATGAGAGGGTCGGACAGACCCAGGGATCTGATCCGACCCCGGAGAGGTGAAAACTCGGCGTAAGAAAGCGGCGAAGTGCCCCCTGCACCCCGCATGACACCTCGGCCAGTACTTACCGACACCATTCCGATCTGCTTGTCCTCTGCAGGGGGAAGGGTGGAGAATGCCACACTCATCCTGGCACCGGCGACACTCCACACACGATGGTGACAACTCCAAACTTACCTCAGAAAAACTTTCTCCAACAATGCTGAACGTGTCTCTGCGCTGCCTGTTAAAGGACCCTGCCGTGCTGTCATTGGCTAGCAGGTCATGTATATTCAGCAGGAAAGCTTTCCTCCCATTGGCTGACTCCTCTGTGTTTGTACACATAATGCAAAGCTGACCACGCCCAGCCCCCTAGGCTGTCCTATCACAGCCCATTAACCTGCAAAGACATCTGAGCAGTCTGCAGATAATGACACTCTGACAGTACAGAGGTGACTGTATACAGAGAGTGTACCCGGTGCCCAACGGGGACCCTGCACCCCCAAACCTGCAACAGAGGAGTGCCCAACGGGGGCCCTGCACCCCCAAACCTGCAACAGAGGAGTGCCCAACGGGGACCCTGCACCCCCAAACCTGCAACAGAGGAGTGCCCAACGGGGACCCTGCACCCCCAAACCTGCAACAGAGGAGTGCCCAACAGGGACCCTGCACCCCCAAACCTGCAACAGAGGAGTGCCCAACGGGGACCCTGCACCCCCAAACCTGC